GCCCAAAAGGAAGCTTAACACTGGAAGTTTGTTATCACCCACCAGATCAAAAGATAGAGGATTCTAAAATGAAGAATGAATTACATATAGCAGCTAGATGAAATAACTGTCGTAATAGGTGATTTTAAAAGCCCACACATTGATTGGGTCTCAATATGTGTTCAAGTTGGAAAAAAGAGATTGAGTTTCTAGACACTCTCAATGACTGTGGTATGGAGCAGATGGTTACAGAACCTACCAGGGGAGAGGTGATCCTGGATTTGGTCCTAAGTAACGCCCAAGACCTGGTGAGAGATGTAAAAGTGATTGCACCATTTGGGAACAGTGACCATAATGTTATTGTTCAACCTTTGTATAAATAGGGAGTTGCCCAAAAAGACTGACACAACCACTTTTCACTTTTAAAGGGGTAACTTCTCTGATATGAGGGGGCATGTGAAGAAGAAACTGAAAGGAAAAGTAGAAAGGGTCAAAACCATTGGTGAATCTTGGAGACTATTTAAAACTACAATTCTAGAAGCTCAGAAAAAATATATACTGCAGGTTAGGAAAGGCACAAATAGGTATAGAAAAAAGCCTGCATGGTTAACAAACAAAGTAATGGAAGGTATAAAAGGTAAGAAGGATTCCTTTAAGTGGTGGAAAGCTAGGTCTCAGTGAAGTTGATAAAGGGAACACAGGCTGTGGCAAAGTCTGTGATCAGGCAGCCAAAAGGGAATATGAGGAGCATATAGCAAAAAACATAAAGACCAACAATAAAACTTTCTTGTGGCAAAAAGTACAGATTGAATCAAGGTATTCCAAAGATAAAACGATTGGTTTCAATGAGGAATGGCTTGAAATAGATAAGTTAACGATGGCAGGTGATCAGAATTTTATAAAGAAAATGTATGTTTTACTGCTTGATTATAAAATGTTTGATGAAACTGTTAAAAATATGATGGTTTTATGAGCACAAAATTTTGGTCATAATATATAACTTGAACAGTAGGATAAACTTTGGGGGGGAAACATTAAGATTACAAAATTTATTGCATATAAAGAAAATATATACAAGATGTTTCACAGACGGTATATAACACCTGAAAAGTTAGCTAAATTTGATAACAAATATTCTGATAAGTGCTGGAAATGTGAAAACAGGGTCATTCTACCACATGTGGTGGTTATGCGATAGAGTTAAAAAATACATGCTTTGACTCAACAGATTTTGAAATGTAATATACCCTTTACTCCTGAAGTATATTTATTGAACATTTTTCCTGATACCTTTAAAAGAGATGATTCTTACCTTTTGATCTATATAACTACTACAGCCAGAATATTATATGCTAAATATTGGAGATGTCAAGAGGTGCCAAGTAAGGAGGAATTTATTAATAATTTTTTTTTGAAGTGGCAGAAATGGACAAACTTACATTAACCTTGAAAGGCCACTTGGAAGATTCATTTGAAAATACTTGGCATTTTATGAATGGCATAAACATTATAACCTTACTTAAGCAAAACAATAAGAATAAGAGAAAACAAAGACATGAAGAGACTAAAATTCCTTACTGTTGCAAAACAATCTTTTTTTCATATAAGGTAGAAGCTATATGTATTAGAAAAGAGGCAATAAGTTATATGTAAACATAGTATACCCCCATTTTATGTTTAGAAGTAGTGTAGTATGTCTGTTTGTATGTATGTCTTTGTTTACGTAGTTAACAAAGACATAAATAAATAAAATTAACAGACATAAATAAATAAAACTTTCTTCAAATACATTAGAAGCAGGAAACCAGCCAGGGAGGCAGTGGGGCCCTTGGATGACCAAGGGGTAAAAGGAGTACTCAAGGATGATAGGGAAATGGCTGAGAAGCTAAATGCATTTTTTTGCCTCTGTCTTCACTGTGGAAGATGAGAAGTGCTTGCCCACTACAGAACCGCTGATTTCGGGAGGGGCATTGAAAGACCTGAGTCAGATTGAGGTGATGAGAGAGGAGGTCCTACGATTGATAGACAAAAACTAATAAATTACCAGGCCTGGATGGCATACATCCAAGAGTTCTGAAAGAACTCAAATGTGAATTTGTGGATCTCCTGACAAAAATATGTAATCTTTCATTAAAATCTGCCTCCATTCCTGAGGACTGAAAGGTAGCTAATGTCACTGCCATCTTTAAAAAGGGTTCCAGAGGAGATCTGGGAAATTTCAGGCCAGTCAGTCTGACGTCAATACCGGGTAAATTGGTGGAAACTATTATTAAGGAAAGAATTAGTAAGCACATTGATGAACAAAACATATTGAGGAAGACTCAGCATGGGTTCTGTAAGGGAAGCTCTTGTCTCACTAATCTGTTAGTGTTTTTTGAGGGAGTGAACAAACATGTGGACAAGGGGGACCCAATAGATGTTGTTTACCTTGACTTCCACAAAGCTTTTGATAAAGTTCCTCATCAAAGGCTCCTAAGTAAGCTCAAAAATCATGGGATAAAAGGACAAGTCCTTTTATGGATCAAAAACTGGCTAATTAATAGAAAACAGAGAGTGAGTATAAATGGGCAGTTCTCTCAGTGGAGGGGGGTAAGCAGTGGGGTACCGCAGGGATCAGTACTTGGTCCACTGCTTTTTAACTTGTTCATTAATGATTTGGAGTTGGGAGTAAGCAGTGAAGTGGCTAAATTTGCGGATGATACGAAGTTGTTCAGGGTGGTGAAAACCAGGGAGGATTGTGAGGCACTCCAAAGGGATCTGTCGAGGATGGGTGAGTGGGCGTCGACATGGCAAATGGGGTTCAATGTGGCCAAGGGCAAAGTGATGCACATTGGAGCCAAAAATCCTAACTATAAATACATGTTGATGGGGTCCAAACTGGCAGAGACTGACCAAGGGAGAGATCTTCGAGTCATAGTAGATGACGCAATGAAAATGTTGAGACAGTGTGTGACTGCAATAAAAAGGGCCAATGCTATGCTGGGGATTATTAGGAAGGGAACTGAAAACAAATCAGCCAGTATCATAATGCCCCTGTATAAATCAATGGTGCGACCTCATTTGGAATACTGTGTACAGTTCTGGTCACCACACCTCAAAAAGGATATTATAGCACTGGAAAAAGTGCAGAAAGGGGCAACTAGAATGATCCAAGGGTTGGAACATTTTCCCAATGAGAAAAGGTTAAAGTGCTTGGGGCTCTTTAGCTTGGAGAAATGACGGCTGAGGGGTGACATGATTGAGGTTTATAAGATTATGCATGGAATAGAGCAGGTAGAGAAAAAAAATATTTTTCTCCCTTTCTCACAATATAAGAACGTGTGGGCACTCAATGAAATTGCTGAGCAGTTGGGTTAGAACAGATAAAAGGAAGTACTTCTTCACCCAAAGAATGATTAACACATGGAATTCACTGCCACAGGAGGTGATGGCGGCTACAAGCATGGACGGCTTCAAAAGGGAATTGGATAAACATATGGAGCAGAGGTCCATCAGTGGCTATTAGCCACAAGGTATAGATAGGAACTCTCCGTCTGGGGCAAGTGATGCATTGTATTCTTGGTGGGTTTTTTTTGGGGGGGGAATAGTGTATGTGGGGGTGTCTAGTGTCCTGGCCCCACTGATGGACCTCCTGATGGCACCTGGTATTTTTGGCCACTGTGTGACAGAGTGTTGGACTGGGTGGGCCATTGGCCTGATCCAACATTGGCTTCTCTTATGTTCTTATGTTCTCTTCTATCTGTGGCTATTTTTTACCCTGGTGAACCATGGAATTCCTCCCTCCATAGCAAGCAATGCAGTACGGTTGAGGGCACCTTGTTCAGGGGTCCATAGAATTGGACCTCTCAGTTCAATTCACTTGAAATTTGGCGATTATTTAAAGGACAGGCACCAGCAGTACCTCAACAATTTTGGTGCAATTTGTTCAAAACCCTGCCCCTCCAGCCCTCCAGAAATATTCCCCATAGGGAATAATGGAGCTGAATAATATCAGAATCCCCCCCCAAAAAACCACCCCAAATAAACCCACACACACAAACCCAAAATTGGATCCAAATACCAAATTGGTATTTGGAACCCAGAAAACCAGGAATACGGAATGCCAATATTTTTCAGCCTTCTGATATCCATATCTAAAAAAATACTTTTTTCCCCTTGATCTGCACATCCCTATTATACTGTGCTGTTGATCAGCCAGAAGATGTCACTGTGGAACAGAGCAAAATGTCACCATAATATCGTGGTTGGCAACTAGTTTCCAACAAGGGCCATATTTTAATTGAGCAAGGTCTAAAGATCCTCTCTCAATTCAATATCTGGCTCTTCTCCCTGGTTTTTGTCCTGCCTGAGCTAATAATGCATGCATGGATCTCACCCCCCAAGAACACTAATAGAGTCTATCAGAATTGCCACTTAGTCTCTTCAGAGCTGATTGCCCCCATTTGCCAATCTTGACTTTCATGAGAGAAAACAATTGAAGTGCTGGGGAACAGGATCACAGTACAATTCTAAGCAGGTCTACTTAGAATCCTACTCAGGTCTATTCAATGTGGCTTCTTCCCAGGGTTACATTAATCAGTGCACTGGCCACCAGTTGCCTATTTCTAGTCAAGAAGAAAAATAAATTATATACACGAAAACCTTGTGCTGTAGAGAAGAATGATAGGATATCTAGGCAGAATATAAGTTTTTAAAATTGTCTTTGTGAGGGTCTAGTCTGAGCTAGGTTTTAGTTCATCCACACACACATATTTATTGTGCCAGACTTCACCCAGAACATATGAAACAAGAGTAAAAAAAGAAGCTCTTTTAGAATTTGGCGCCTAGGTGAAGAAGTCTGATGTATGTCATACTCTCTGAATACAGAGCACAAGTTTTTAAAATATGAAACCTATCAATATATGACTTCTAATATAGACAAGAACCCTGCTATCTCTCTTTTTACTGTTTATGCCTGAATTGCTATTCCATATTTGTCTTTACTGATTACCCTTGTTTTGTTTCTTTCAAACTGTCTACAGAACCTCCAATGTGTTGCTATGCAATGTAACGGATCGGGTATCATTTTGGTTCGTGATCACTAATTCTTCCACAAATACCACAACCATTCCCAGGAGTGATGTAGAAAGAGCTATAAGGTATTGTAGTGGCAAACTCTATAATCACACAAGTTCTAACCAAAGTAGTTGCCTTTTAGTAGCATTTATTGCACTTTTTGTCAAAAGAACTTGTAGCATAGTTCCTCTCCCAATAGCCATTTATTTATTAATTTATTTACTTTATTTGTTACTATTTTATTATTTATATTATATTGTATATTATATATAACATTTATTTATGTATTCGGTCATTTATACTCTGCCTTTCCCCCCAGTGAGGACCCAAAGTGACATACATCGTTCTCCTCTCCATTTTATCTTTACAACACCCCTTTGAGGTAGGTTAGGTTGACAGTGTGTGACTAGCCCAAGGTCACCCAGCAAGCTTCTGTGTCAAAGGTAGGATTTGAGAACAGCCACCTCCCCACAGTGGACTTCCTGTCTGGATGCAGGGACAGATTTGTGGTTTAATTTATTAGGTATGTTCCCAGTGAGCCCCCAACGTGAGGGGTCACTAGCAGCCAGAATATGATTGGTAATCCCATTGTTGTTATTGCTGCTGGTCCAGCCATGAAGCCCATACCTGTCTTTTATTTAGACTGTCCCGTGATCACCCTTTTTAATCATGACAGGTAAATATTTCTGTGACTCCTATCATTGTAAGAATGCCATCTACTTACCCCCAGTATAGCAAAGATGTATTTACTGGGGAAAGACAAAAAAATAAACTTTGAGGCCTCTATAGTCAATGGTCTATAAGAAGGGTGTTAAGAACAGCTTCAATGAATGGAGTTTGTCATGATTCCCCCCCCCCAATATTCCAATAGAAAATAGCTCTTTGCTTTTAATTTGTTGTGTCCTTTGCCTTTAAAAATCGTGTTATGTTTCAGACTGCCTCTTGTTGAATAAATATGAATGCAACAGTGAATGAGCGTGCATTTCTTGGGAAAGATTAATTTTTAAGCTTATGAGCAGATTAAAATGCTTTCTACAGAGAAATTCAAAACCAACTTTGTTGTATTAATAGGGGAAGCTGATTATTAATTTCTTGGACCTGGGTAAGAATAGTGGAATGCACTTTCTAATTTTTGGCAGTTCTTTGAAACATTCACTTTGTTTAAGCAGATTTACCATAAATCTTTCTACACTGGAAAATAGATTCAAACAATGGTCCACCACTTGTTGACATGATATATAATTGTAAAAATGCCCAGTACTGAATTTTAAACCCTACTGGTATTGTACAAATAAGATCTAACAACCAGGCCTTCACATGCCCTCAGATCAGATCAGTTTGGAGCCTTCCAGAGCTCGGATTATGGAACTGGTTACTGGAACAATGAGAACATGGCGAATGCAAACGCCTTTGTTAACCTGGAATTATTCTCTAATGAATCCTAAGCAAATGAGACCCTGCCCTCTCTACATCTATCATTTCTTTCACATTTTGATATGTCAAGTGTTTTCCATACATCCATCTTTCTCTCTCTTTACTGTGCTGTATGCAGTGCCAGCTAGGGCATTATATACATACACAGGGCTGTTTATGCAGCCTTACGTTTATAAATTGCCTGGGAGATGCAGAAACTCATGCCAGCAAGCAAGCTTTACTGAAGGAATTGCTGTGCCGATATAACCAGCCAATATTCACTGAACAGAGAAGGATTATCTGTTGGAATCTGTTGCTTGGGCTTCTGAGATTTTTTTTAAAAAATAGAATATCTCATTTAGGAATTCAACATTGTTGTCTATGGCATAATTATCTAGTTCTGAGTTTCATGTACATTCTGTTCAAGCACGTTTCAGTATTTTCATTTGCAAGGTGATGGCAGCTGTGAGTATGTGACGGTATATACTGGGGATCCTGTACTTTCAAAGAAGTGTAGGATAGAAGTGATTCCCCTCCTCACTCCCTATTGAATGGACCAAATACACCATTTGTTTCAGCAGGGTCATGAGTAAGGAATTAAGACAATTGTCTTTACCTGTCCCATGTTCTCTAGTCCAAAAGAGTATCTTCTTTATCCATTCTGTATGCTTAATAACAACTTCCTGATCTGCTACGTTTATAATTATTATGCATATTTTTGTATCTTTTAAGATGGAATAGATGGAGAATCAACAGTGCCTTCTTACTAGATGACAACACTCTGCAGTTCTTGGAAATCCCATCAACTTTAGCACCGCCATTTGAACACCCTGTGCCAGTCTGGCTGATTATATTTGGGGTTGTTCTTTGCATCATTGTGGCTGGAATTGTTTTCCTTATCGTATCAGGAATACAGAAACGCAAGAGGCGAGTACCTTATGTGTCCATGTTTTGTGTCAGTACAGCATTACAAAGCATAAATGGTAAAGAGAGTTACTTTTTGCAAATCAAATTGATTATGGAAAGGTAAGAGTAGAACTTTGCCATCAACAGTTATTCAAGCAGCTGTAACACATAACCACTGACAGTGGCAACAAGTTGCACACCAGTGTTCAACCATCCACAGCCTCGCTGTCTGCAATGTCAAGGGAAAGATTTCATTTCAAGCATCACATCTTCTGCTTCCTGCCACGTACCAAAAGTGATGAGCTGAACACCATAGAAATTACTGTAATGTGGGATTTTGTATCCTTCTGTGTATCTGTAATTCTTATTATCTAAAGCAAGTACAGTAACCAGGTGCTGTACAGGGAAGAAGACACCTGCCATAACTTCAGGCCCTTGGATAGATCATATCTATGGTGTAGCCATATTTTTAATACTATGTGCAGAGAAAGGATATCATAACTCTGGAAAAAATGTGGAAAAGAGCCATCAAAATAATCAGGGAATTGGAGGGGATAAAAATGATTCTGGGATGGACAAGCGGAGTCCAAGGAAGGGGCAAACAGACTCCCCATTGCTGTTTCCACTGATGCAAACAGCACTGGTGGGAAACCTGAAAATCCTCCTTCCCTCCCACTGGATTTAGAGTCAGGCAGAGTGACTGAGAGTTTTTTAAAGGTTAGTCTCCACATGAATGTGTAACTAAGAGTTGGGTTGTCCACCCATAACCTAATTCATGCCATGTGTGATGTGTATTTTGGCCCTTATGGAGGACAAGTCGATCAATGGCTATTTGACGTGATGGCTAAATGGGCCTTCGTGTTCAGAGGCAGTATACTTCTGAATACTAACACATGGGAAGAGGACGCAATAATAGGGGAAGCTCTTGCTATGGACTCTGCCAGGCATGTGGTTAGTGAAAGCATAAAACAGTGTGCTGGAGTAGATGGGGCTTTAGTCTGATGCAGCAGTCTCTTCTTGTGATCTAAGTATATAAAGGCTGGCTTAACTGAGTGGTCTGATGACTTGAAATTGGCTTTATGCTCTGTAATGTATCCAGTCCAGACAAGTCCAGAGACAAACGCAGAGCTTTGCTCCAAGAGACAATGGACTATGCGGATCCTAGCCCGCTCCAATCAGGGGGCTAGGTTCCCGGCTGAGAGCCTATGGGACTCTCAGCCACTGTAAATAGCCTATAGGGAAGTAGGGGTGTGTTTTGCTGAAATCACTCTCCGTCTGCGTACTTTTCATGCTCTTTATATTATCCTGTGTAAACATTAATGGGAGGAAAGCTTTCATGTAATGAGATTATCTTTTTTAAAAAACATATGTTTTATTTTAGAAAGCAAAGTATAATGTAGAGGGGATACAAAAAAAAGAGGGATTATGTAACAAATTATATATCAAGATTTTTATACACTGCATGATATATAAAATAGAAAAAGTAAATATTTCTCCCCAACATCCCCTTCATTATAGTTTTTAAGACTTTTTCTATAGGATAGATACAATGGTCCAAACATTTTGAATTTCATAACTAATCTATTTTGCAACTATATTATTAATTTCCTCATTATTGCATATTCTGTGTTAAATATTCCATCTTCTACATACCAGCTATAACATTTATTATTTGTTGTTGTTCAGTCGCACAGTCGAGTCCGACTCTTCGCGACCCCATGGATCATCTCCCGCCAGGCCCTCCTGTCTTCCACCGTCCTCTGAAGTTGGCTCAATTTCATTTATTATACCAAAGCTATAATATACGAAAGCTATAACTTTTAATATACCAAAGCTTAAAGGAAAGTCTATTATATATCTCACATATAAGATAAAAAATAACATTCTTGTTCAAAATCCACTTCCTCATACATTTATATTCAAAACTTGTTCTCATTCCATTTCTGCATTGTAATACATTTATATGCATAGTGATTCACATATATACAATTTTAAACTATTTCTCATTCTGAATTTGTCTCCTGCTTGTATAATAAACACTCCATCTCTCCTCAAATTTCAACATTGATTTATTTCTCAAACAGGTTTTTAATTTTGCCATTACTGCATAATTGGCAAATTTATTTTCTCATTCTTCTAAGCTTGGACAGATGTCTGATTTCCATTTTGCTGCTGTTACCATATATTTGAATATCTCTTCCAAAACTTTTGATAATTTGTTGGGCAATATTTCCAATAGCGTGTTTCCATAGGGAATTTAAATTTTAATATGTTCTGCATTTTTCCATGTATTTGCTTCCAGTTTTTGCTTTTTTACAAGTCCACCACATATGGTAAAACATTCTATTTATATCTTGGCATTTCATTTTCCTTTGTAATTTTTTTATACTTTCTCAATATCCTTTGGAGTTATATACCATCTGAAGAACATTTTATACCACATTTCTTTTAAACTCCTGGATGGCTGTGAACTTAAATTTCTTTTCCCAATAACTGTTCCTATTGATGCATCGGTATTCACTCTCTGAAATTCTGCATCCATTTAGTCATATTTTTTCCCTTGTTATTCTTTTGTTTCTAACAGATGATCTTTTTGTTTTGTAATCAGCTGTTCAAACTCAGTCATATATCTTAAAACTCCACCTTCCTTGCTGATAATCTTTAATCTTCGAAGTTGATTGGTGATATAACAACCATTGAATATTAATTTCTTCATCTCTAATGTCTTGCCCAGATTTGAGTTTCCCCTGAGCATTTACCATATAGCTCTACGTTAGAAAATCACATTATTTCTCGCATTCTTGTCATAATGAGCTTCTATTGGGGATAGGCAGAGAATTTGGAGGGCTCAGTAAATTCTGGCATGTAAACCACATTCTCTAAAGTCCATCTCTAATTATATGACTTAACTCTCTATATAAAAGATTAAAGTAAAGGTAAAGGTTTCCCTTGCTCGAAAGCCAGTCGAATCCATCTCTAGGGGGCGGTGCTCATCTCCATTTCCAAGCCAAAGAGCCATCCCTGTACAAAGACTTTTTCTGTTGTCATGTGGCTGGAATGACTAAATACTGAGGCGCACAGAACACTATTACCTTCCCACCGAAATGGTACCTATTTATCTACTTGCAATTTCCTGCTTTTGAACTGCTAGTTGATGGGAGCTGGGTCCAGAGACGGATGTTCACTCTGTCATGCGGCACTAGGGTCTCAAACTGTCGAGTTACCGACCTTCCGGTCTGCAGCTCAGCATCTTAACCTCTGAGCCACCGCGGCCCCTCTAAAAAAGATTACTCATTGTATATAATAAACATTCTAAATATGAATAAAAGAAATGAGGAAATAAAGAGTGAAGCTCATTTTCTAAACACCATTCCATAGTCATTATTATAGTTCCAAAACATTTATGTCTTCTCTTAAAATTTAAATTTAGAATGGAGGGGGGGATTGTAAGGGGAAAGGAAGTGGGAAAAGGGAATGGGGATGAAGTGGGAAGGGAGGGGGGAGGAAAAAAAGAGAATAAAAAGAAAAAACAGAAAAACAAAAATATTAAGTGTTATTGAAAATTGTGTGTGTGTGTGTGTGTGTGTATTTAATTTATTGGCTCTTAAAAGTCTGTATTGATCTTTTATATATCACCCAGAGAAGACCAAGATTTTTTTTTAAAAGTGAGGGAGGAGAAGCTTGCCCAGCAACTGTGCATTTGTTTTCCAGTATGCTAATTCCTCTATAGTTCCTGTTGTCTGGTTGTCTGGTGGGGGGTTAGTCCAAAGTATTTTCATTATTTTTACATGCTGGGGTGGGCGTCGGCCAAGTTAATGGTGGACATCATTTGAGTGTTCTCCAAGAGACCCCCTCCTAACCCCGCTGAAACGATAAATCAACGAAAACTTTTCCTATCTACAAATTATGGGAAAATTGTCTGGACAGAAAAACCAATCTCTGGAAATGAAAATAAAGCAGCTAAAAACTCAATTTCCAAGCGAAAAAGCGAACGGAACTTCACTAGGTCTGCAACAAACACAAAACAAAATGGCATCCAGAATGACGCACCAAACTCACCACTAACTAAGCAAGACCTCATGGATATTCTGAAACTTTTTAAAACGGAAATGCTGGACAACATCAACTCATTTCTTAAGCCTATGTCTGAGCAAATGGAAGCTTTACAAATATCGATGCAGAAAGTGGTACTGACAGCTTACACAGCTTTCGAAGCTGCAACAGCCACCAACGAAGACATTAAAAATCTTCAAGATTCGGAATCATGGGCCAAGGAAACGATACTACTCCTGGAACACAGAACCCGTGAGAAGTTTATAAAATTTAGAGGATTTCCGGAACACACTGAGGGATCTGAGGATCTTACCTCATTCTTAGCAACATGGTTGATGGCGGCAATGACCTTTGAAGATGGAGTAGCCCCAATGCTGGTAAGGGCGTATCGTATAGGCCCGGTTTCTACAGAAGCACGCAGAGGACCATGCGACATTATGATGGAATTTTTAGATTTAAGAATAAAAAATAAAGTCCTGCACGAAGCCAAAAAGACCGGCAACTTTAAATGTAACGACAAAGAAATCTATGCATTTCCAGAAGTTCCCCTGGAGGCTCTGCAAATCAGAAGAAATCTCAAACAGATTACAGCCTGCCTCAACGAAGCAAAAATTAAATATAGATGGCTGCAAACGGGCTCCCTACAAGTCAGACAACAAGTTGTAACATACCAAGCCAACGACATCGAAATGAGAGAAGCTCTTTTAAAGGCCCTAGGCTTAATATCACAACAAGATATGGAAACTGATCTTTACAGGAAACATAAAAGAGGAAACCAAACCACCCCATTCAAGTGGAGTAGAATTCCCACTAGAAGACGAATCAACTTATAAGCCAGTTGCAATAATGTTTGCAAGTTTTGTCTATTGTTTAATATAGTTAAAATTATTCACAGTAAGAAATATGTTATAAGCACAAAACTTAGGAAAAATAACATGCAGGCGGAAGGGAGAGGGGACACTCTTTGG